TCTCTACATCTAATTAAAAATATTAACAGAAATTGCAACAACCCGTGCTTCGGAAGCACGGGTCAGGATCTAGTTAGATTTATTTACACAGTTCAACTACTTAACTAATTTGTGATTATATACTAATCTTAGAGGGAAGACTGAGTGGAGGAATCGACGAGAATGGTATTTCATACTACAACAATCTCATCAACGAGTTAGTAAAGAATGGTAAATTCCGAATTCTTAATTAATAATACTTAGTCATACGGTTTTAATCATAATTTATTAACTTGCATGAATACGATTCATAGGCATTGAACCATATGTCACTATATTTCACTGGGATATGCCTCAAACTTTAGAAGACGAATACAAAGGCTTCCTAGACAAACGTATAGTGTAAGTCCATCAGCTAATACTTGTTTAAATTCTTTAGTTTGGTTATGTACAGATCTATCCATATTTAATATATATGATATGAAACATGAACAGGGAGGATTTCACCAACTACGCGGAGCTTCTATTCCAAAGATTTGGAGACAGAGTCAAATTTTGGATCACTCTGAACCAGCCTTACTCTCTCGCAACCAAAGGTTATGGTGATGGATCGTATCCACCGGGACGGTGCACCGGCTGTGAATTTGGAGGAAACTCTGCGACCGAACCTTATATAGTTGCACATAACCAACTTCTAGCTCATGCAACTACTGTAGCTTTGTACCGTGAAAGATATAAGGTATATAGATAAATAGAAATATATAAATCAATCGTACATAATCTCTTTCAAGATGATCATCAGTTTCGATTTACTTTATGCAGAAATCTCAAGGTGGTAAAATAGGAACGACCTTGATTGGAAGATGGTTCGTACCATTAAACGAAACTAGTGAGGCGGACAAGGCTGCTTCAAAACGGGCATTTGATTTCATCGTCGGATGGTATATATTCAATTAATTTATTCTCACATCACCCATATATGTTCAATGAATTTAGTTTGTGAATATTGCTCATACATATATGAAGGTTCTTGGATCCATTGGTGTATGGAGACTATCCAGAGATAATGAAAAAGATGCTTGGAGATAGATTGCCAACATTCGAACCTAAAGAATCAGCTTTAGTCAAAGGATCACTTGATTTTCTAGGGTTGAACTATTATGTTACACATTATACGGCCGACGCATCTATTTCTATTCCTCCAATACCTAGTGTCGCAACCGATCCACGAATTACACTTACATGTATGTTAAACTATTTTGTCGATTTTTCTTTTTATAGAATATATTAGATTTTTATCTTAGCTAATCTCTTTTTTATTTCCGTATAATTGGTCTCAGATTATCGGGGTACAGATCCTATTGGCGTTGTGGTGAGAATCGATTTCAATTTGGAATATTGTTTTTTTTATTAGAAGATTACAACATTGGTTTTTATTCTTGTCTTATTCTTCTTCTACAGGCTCCTAGCTTCGTGTACTATCCTCCAGGATTCCGTATGATTCTAAATCACATCAGAGTCAACTACGGAAACCCACTTACCTACATTACTGAAAACGGTATGTACATATATATTTTGTTTTAATCCAATAGAAAAAAACGTAAATGTGTGTTTAATATCAAATCTTGTGTGTTTCAGGAGTTGCTGATCCAGGAAACGGAAACTTACCGATTGGAGAAGCTCTTGCTGACACAAAAAGAATTCAGAATCATTGCAGCCATCTTTCGTGTCTCAAATGTGCCATTGCGTGAGTTATAAAACTCGTGTATTGTTAACGTATACTTCCTTTTTTATTAGAATTATAAATGTTAACGTACATCAACCTTTTCTAATAGGGACGGATCCAAAGTAGCAGGATATTTCGCGTGGTCCTTAATGGACAATTACGAATTTGGAAATGGTTACACTCTCCGGTTTGGTATGAATTGGGTCAACTTTACTAATCCTAGTGACCGTAGACAAAAGGATTCTGGCAAATGGTACTCTACATTCATCACAAAATAAGGGGCTGCGACATAGATATATATCAGTTCCATGTATCCAACCTCAAAATCTAATAACTATTGTACTATATGTATTGTTCATTATCAAATCTTATGTGTCATGTACGTTGTTAAAAACGTTGTAATAATTTGACCTTAAATCTCGGTCAATCATAAATAAATCATAATTTATAATTATATGAAGTTTGTTATGTGCTTGTTCTTGGTCTTGTTCTCTATACTCATCTTGCTAAGTTTAACTTCTCTAAAATCTGTAACGTGCTCTAAGTTGATATCATTACCACGTTCGCGTACCAAAATATTCAACCAAGGATGTTATATGAAATTCAAAACCAATGTCAAATGCTTATTTCTTCTTCTGGGAATTGTTCTGAGCAATTATAATAGATCATAGCATCTTGTTTTAAGCTGGTTAAGATTGTTAATGTGCTATGGTTTTACCGTCTTTTTAAGTTTTTGTTTTTCTAAAAACAGTTTTAGTTTTAGTCTTTTACTGAGCCAAGCCTTTTTTCAGAATCCTTAGGTTTTCTATCTACTGTTTATAGGTCGTTTTAGGAAAAAAAAAGAAAAGAAAAGAGAGCCATTTTGTGTTGCAAAAAGATACGTGCATCAAACTATGGAAACTGGAATTTATTGGAAACCTTACTATATTTATATCAAAATGAAATTTGGATACAGTTAAGCCACTTGATTCATCTCTCATTTGGTGGTGATGTGAGGTATTTCCGACGAACGTTTGGTTGTCAAACAATAGAGGAATATGCATGAATTGACTCCAAGATGATAGACATATATATATTTCCAGATTCCAAACCAGTCAGTCGAGTTCTAGATGCAGAATCTGACCCAAAGTCAATCGGTTCCACTCAAAGTCTGACCACTTCGGTTTTCATCGTTTTGATACCCTAAACTTACTCGTCAAAGACTTGTCTTTCATTTTTGAACCCAAGAAAAAACATGTTTGAACTTTTATATATGGTATCAAATTATCAATCATTTACGTAGTATCTTTTTTTTTTTTTTTTTTTTTTTTTTTTTTTCTGGTACATTATTTCTTTCTCTCTTCAAAGACATCAAATTAGCAAACATTCACTTTTCCCGCCATATATATATAATTCTATTTTATCGAAAGAGTTTAGCTTAATAATTTTTTAGCAATGATTTTTTTTACCTTACTTATATTCATAGGCTGTAACTGGTGACCAAGGAATAAGGGGAATTATTTTATTCCCCCACATTCCTTAAAAATTACACCATTCACATAGAATATATATTCCATATTATTCCTTGTTATTCCATATTAATTAGGGAATTTTAGTGTTAAATTATTCCTTATAAAATATGAGGAGGAATGAGTTCCATATATTTTATTCCTCCTCATTCCATTCTTTCTCATTCCTTTCATTCCTTTACATGTCACCAGAAGTTTATAGACATTTCCTTGTTGTCGAGTTTATAGAAGTTTTACGTTCCAAATAAAAATAAATTACACACCATACAATCAGTGGCGGAGGCAGAACGTTTTCTTATAGGGGGCATTGGTGATATATTTCAAACATCTAAGGATCTCTCATTTGGTGGTGATGTGAGGTATTTCCGACGAACGTTTGGTTGTCAAACAATAGAGGAATATGCATGAATTGACTCCAAGATGATAGACATATATATATTTCCAGATTCCAAACCAGTCAGTCGAGTTCTAGATGCAGAATCTGACCCAAAGTCAATCGGTTCCACTCAAAGTCTGACCACTTCGGTTTTCATCGTTTTGATACCCTAAACTTACTCGTCAAAGAATAGTCTTTCATTTTTGAACCCAAGAAAAAACATGTTTGAACTTTTATATATAGTATCAATCATTTACGTAGTATCCTCTCTTTTTTTTTTTTTTTTTTTTTTTTTTTTTTTTTCATTATTTCTTTCTCTCTCCAAAAGACATCAAATTAGAAAACATTTACTTTTTCCCGCCATATATATATATATCAAATAGTTTTTAGCTTAATAATTTATTATTTTTTTAGCCATGGTATTTTTTTACCTTACTAATTTTCATAGACATTTCATTGGTGTCGTGTTTATAGAAGTTTTACATTCCAAATAAAAATAAATTACACACCATATAATAGTTGGCACTAGATTTATTAAAATATATGTTAATGGTACCGGAATTTCATGTAGAGTTATAAGAAAAAAAATGTAATTAATTAGTAATATTGTTCCTTAAAATAGGGTTTGTAATTTCATAATTAAATTTTTGAAACTTAGCAATTAGACAAGTCATGGTTTGCTTATAGAACGAAGGTTGCTGCTGGCTAGCTAGAATGTACGCTAAAGGAGAAGGGCACACACACACGGAACTTAAACCTCCAGGCTCCAACCATATCATGCATTCACGAAGATTTAAAATGAATAAAAAAATGAATGGTACGTAAAATGTAATCGTTTGATTGAGTTAAAAAATTGCATATAAACTATAATTAAGGAACATATATTCTCACGCAGACATGTACAGGTACATATCGTGTAAAGCTATATACGTATTCTAGATATATAAGAGAAATAAATGATGCCGTAAATTAACAAGAAGTTTCTATAAGAAAAAGAAAAAAAAAAAATCATAAGGGATATAGTTTTGATGAAATGTAATTATCATTTAATCAGAAAAAGACAGCGAGGTGGAGTTCATGTATGATTAAATTGAATGCAAATATACGTAAGGAGTTTACTTCAATTATCTCCATGCAAGTCCCATGCACTCAAACTCTTGTATATAAACCCCTCCAAGTTCATCATTTAATCATCATCAAATCAACATCGGTCTATAAGCCCATCAAAGAAACCATAGATCTCTCATCCATGGCATTCCAAAAGCTCTCTACTCTTTAGCCATCCTTGTCCTTCTCTTTGTGGTTGCAGTAGTCAAACTGTCTGCAATCCAGAATGCAAGGCTAAAGAACCCTTCAACTGCGACAATGTTCTTACATTCAACCGATCTGGATTTGCAAAGAATTTCACTTTTGGTGCAGCTACTTCTGCATACCAGGTACATATATACATATATCTCTGTGGCCTTTGGTATCAGTTCGTAACAGTAACAATATTTGTCAAGTTAAATAATTTTTACAAAATAGAATGATTGATTATATTAATTTGTTCTCCCAGATTGAAGGTGCTGCATATAGAGCATTGAATGGATGGGACTACTACACTCATAGATATCCAGGTAACAACATCATTTACGTAGTACTGTATTATTATGCACCGATCGAATCGATCAATGTATGGATTCCTAGAAAGAACCAGTCATGCTCATATATTGGTTTGTTACATACAGAAAAAGTTCCAGATAGGAGTTCAGCAGACCTTGCTTGTGATTCGTATCATCTTTACAAGGTGAGAGGCTTGAATCAATAGTGATGAATATATGTATATATATGATGTATTTGTTCCACATTTAAATTTGGAACCCTAATATATTTAACTTTCATAATTAATCTGAACAGGAGGATGTCGCACTACTAGTAAAACTCAAGGCTCAAGCATACCGATTCTCAATAGCATGGTCAAGGGTCTTACCAAGTAAGTACATATATAGACCTATATACCTCGGTCATTTCTTCATCTCTACATCTAATTATTAACAGAAGAATATTAATTATATTTATTTACATAGTTAAACTACGTACTTAACTAATTTGTGATTATATACTAATCTTAGAGGGAAGACTGAGTGGAGGAATCGACGAGAATGGTATTTCATACTACAACAATCTCATCAACGAGTTAGTAAAGAATGGTAAATTCAGAATTCTTCATTAATAGTAATACTTAGTCATACGGTTTTAATCATAGTTAATTAATTAACTGCATGAATACGATTCACAGGCATTGAACCATATGTCACTATATTTCATTGGGATATGCCTCAAACTTTAGAAGACGAATACAAAGGCTTCCTAGACAAACGTATAGTGTAAGTCCATCAGCTAATACTTGTTTAAATTCTTTAGTTTGGTTATGTACAGATCTATCCATATTTAATATATATGATATGAAACATGAACAGGGAGGATTTCACCAACTACGCGGAGCTTCTATTCCAAAGATTTGGAGACAGAGTCAAATTTTGGATCACTCTGAACCAGCCTTACTCTCTCGCAACCAAAGGTTATGGTGATGGATCGTATCCACCGGGACGGTGCACCGGCTGTGAATTTGGAGGAAACTCTGCGACCGAACCTTATATAGTTGCACATAACCAACTTCTAGCTCATGCAACTACTGTAGCTTTGTACCGTGAAAGATATAAGGTATATAGATAAATAGAAATATATAAATCAATCGTACATAATCTCTTTCAAGATGATCATCAGTTTCGATTTACTTTATGCAGAAATCTCAAGGTGGTAAAATAGGAACGACCTTGATTGGAAGATGGTTCGTACCATTAAACGAAACTAGTGAGGCGGACAAGGCTGCTTCAAAACGGGCATTTGATTTCATCGTCGGATGGTATATATTCAATTAATTTATTCTCACATCACCCATATATGTTCAATGAATTTAGTTTGTGAATATTGCTCATACATATATGAAGGTTCTTGGATCCATTGGTGTATGGAGACTATCCAGAGATAATGAAAAAGATGCTTGGAGATAGATTGCCAACATTCGAACCTAAAGAATCAGCTTTAGTCAAAGGATCACTTGATTTTCTAGGGTTGAACTATTATGTTACACATTATACGGCCGACGCATCTATTTCTATTCCTCCAATACCTAGTGTCGCAACCGATCCACGAATTACACTTACATGTATGTTAAACTATTTTGTCGATTTTTCTTTTTATAGAATATATTAGATTTTTATCTTAGCTAATCTCTTTTTTATTTCCGTATAATTGGTCTCAGATTATCGGGGTACAGATCCTATTGGCGTTGTGGTGAGAATCGATTTCAATTTGGAATATTGTTTTTTTTATTAGAAGATTACAACATTGG